AGCAGAAACATTGAGGCTAGCAACAAAAGAGTGGGAATAGACAAAGAGGCTGAGAGGATGATGGTAATGACAGTGACTGAGAGTTTTAAATGCTGAAAGCTTGTGAGAAAGACAGGATCTAATAGGGGGTTGTATAGAGGGGTTTATCAAAAAGCCATTCAGCTCCAGCAGCTTCTCAGACATGATTGGTCTAAAGGCAGAGACTTTCCCCACACATTGCCTGGCACACAGTAGGCCTGCCACAAGTATGCTGGATGAAATAATAAATGAGCCATCGTTAATACCATGTGGTAGAGCCTCTGGCTGTGGAATAACACAAACATGCAGTAGAATTTAGGGTTAGTGGTTTGCATACCATACCCTGCAAAGTGGATAGGAAAAGACAAAGGGGAGAAGGGGGAGGAGGAAAAGAAACAAGGGTGACTTGAAATGGGTAAGCTTGAAAATTGAGCTTGATAAATATATTACTGTTTTTCTGTTCCACTTGGTTAAAAGGGCTGCTTTCATAAAACCCTCTGGTTTTATAAGTTTGCTGTACATTCTGTTTCGTCTTATAAAAGCTGCTTGCTTATTTGAATAGGAGTAACTTTTATTGGAGTATTTCTCAATGAAAGGGAAAAATACCTTTCCTTCCCTCCCCACATGACTTGCAACTCAAAATAACTTGAAAAGATAAGTATTATCAAGCAAATTAGTTGACTAATACATGGGTATTTTCTGCTAGGTACTTAAACTAGTTTTAACTTTTGTATATAGCAGTATGTAATACAGCTATGTAAGAATTGTCAGTTGCTTATTCCATTCAGAGAACTCATTTATAAATACTCTCCAGCCCTGGGAATGGAAAATACCAGTGATCCTTGGTCATATTTGCCAACTTCCCTGCAGACTGTGCCTGGGTTCAAACATGATGAGGACAAGTTGACTGTGCCTATTTTTTAATCAAAAATTGTTTTTAAATTCATGGAGTAATAGTGAAGATTGCTCTAACTCCTTTAAAATGATGAAAGGGAAGTAGATGATGTAAGTCACCAACAGGACTGACTGTAGAAATCACAAACAAGATTTGGAGGGTTACAGAGAGATTGAAAAGACTCTAAGGAAAAAAAAGAGTAAATAAGATCATATTGTTGTTGTTGTTGTTGTTGTTTTTAATTTGCCAGGGAGCAAATGCCAGAGAAACAGAGAGAGAGGAAGAGAAGAAAGGTGAGAAAGCACCCCCCATGGGGCATGGTCGCACTGCAATCCCTTTTCCTCCATCCTGCCTTTTGGCAGGATTTTGGGCACACACAGGTGTTCAATGTGTTTCTCAAACCACTGGGTACAGGAATAAATCTGTGCCATCAGCCATGGGGGATCCAGTTGCTTTAACCACCACACCATGGGCTGGCCCAAAAGATGATTTTTCTTTCATCTAGTTAATTCCAGGGGAAATACTCCTTTTCAGCCTTTGACTCAACAGGCAATTTTGTATAAGGCGTGTTTGTGATACTGCCTTCAAGGCAAGAGGAAGGAAGTTTTAGGGCCACTCTTGGGGTCCTGTACCCACCCGTGCTTGTGCTCATGCACATCTTTACACACACACACACACACACGCACAAATGATCATATGTCAGTAACACATACACACACAGACACACACAAACACATAATTGTTTCAGATTTATTTATTTAGCTTAGTTTATGCTTGTCAGAGACATAAAGAAAAGTAAGAAATCTCCCCTGCCAGGGGCATGGTTACATACCAGTCCCTTCTCCATTCTCCTCCTGGAATTTTTGAGTATACATGTACATGCACCCAGTGTGATTTTCAAGACACCAGGTCCAGGACTCGAAGCATGATCAGCCATGTGGGAATCCAGTGCTTTCACCACCACACCACCTGCTGGCCCATGCTCTGGTTTTGTTTTTTTTTTTTAAAGGATGGAAGTTCTGTGTTGTGGAAAAGCTTAGAGAAAGCTTGGAGAATGTGAAATTAATTTTTACTTAAATGGAATTAACTTTAAAGCCCTACTTAATATATTCAGACATTCTTTATTCCTAAATATTCTCTAGAGTTGAGGTGTTATGAAACTTTAATAGCTGACTAGATCCAAGTTTCCTAAAAGGACAGGCCAACAAGCCGTGGGATATGCTTTCTTTCCCCAAATTTTGCAATTTACTATTTTAAAAAAGTGTAATTTCTCTTGAATACTTGCAGTCTTTTCCAGAAAAAAAAAAAAAAGCTAGCATATTAGAATAGTCTAGCATCTCAGGAAGTATAATGACAATAATGACAACAACAACAAAAATTCAATCTTACGGTTAAGTAAGTATTTTAAGTATTTTCAGTACATGACTAAATTTATTATGGCTGGAATCAGGATAATATTCACTGAATTGATAGGCTTATGAAGAAATGCTAATAAAAAACTCTTTAGAAACATTTTAACTTATAACTGAAGAAAAACACGGGACTTTAATCAGGCACTTTTCTAATTATGAGAGTGAATTTTTGCTCAATTTCAGGCAGATATCAATGCTCATATTGGGTGAGATCATAGTTTTTTGATGATACAAAATTACCACAATTTTAATTCTCTTAAGTACATACTATTCTTAAAAGTGGTTGAAAGTACCTTTCAGATTATAATTTATTTCTACATTTAAAGTATCATTTTAGAGAAGGTGAGTAAAAGGGTACCCATTATTTTAAAATTTCCAGAAACTTTGTCACTTTTATATATAACAACCAATACAGCTTTCGATAGCTAGACTGAGTTGAAACCATTCTCCATCTCTCCAGAACAAGAACAAGAACTCCTGTCTCACTTCCGACTTCCCAAAGGATACAGGTGCCTTCATTCCTTCTTTCATTCAACAAATATTTACAAAGTATCTGCCAGTTTTCCAGAGGACAGGTACTGTAGCAGTGAACAAAATGGGCGAAGACAGAAGAAACAAAGAACTATTCGATAGAATGTTAGTTAATGCTGACTAAAAAAATAAAATAATAGATAAATAAATACAACAGAGAAAGGGGACACAGAGAGACAGGGTTTCTGTTTTAGACTGAGTTTTGAAAAAATTTCCCTAGAGGTGATATTTGAGTACAGACCTAAATTAGGTGAAGGAGTGAATCATCGCGTATCTAGGGCAGTGATTCTTAACCGAGGATGACTTGGCCTCTCAAGGGATAGTTGGCATCTGCAGACATTTTTAATTGTCCCAACTGAGAAAGGAGATGCTACTGTCATCTGGTGGATAGAGCCCAGAGATACTGCTAAATTTCCTGCGATGTGTAACACGGGCCCCTGAAACAAAGAATTATCTGCCCAAAATGGCAGTTGCACTGAGGTTAAGAAACCCTAATCTGGAAAGAGCATTAGAAGCTAAGAAGACATTAAGTACACAACAAGCCCTACAACGGGAACTGGCTTGGCATGGTCACCGAAGAATTCGGTGGCTTTTGTGATTGAACCACAGTGGCAAGAGGTTACCTTCAGGCAAAAAATTTCCACTGAGAGCTCAGGTTACAGAAAAGACTTCTGCTTCTTTTCCTACCCTGCGTCTCACTTCATTGAGCTCCTATTCCGTAATTCTCCTAGAAGTGGCTAGCTTTGCCTAGGAAGCCAACGAGGTTTTTGTGGGACACAGGGGTATCTCATATTTGTTAACCTAATGAGTGAGTTCACATCCATCTTGCCAAGGATGGAAGACAGTCCCAGAAACTTGAAAAACATGCCAGGTGTGTGCACACATATGCCTAGGATTCCTTATGGGAAGGAGGAGTAGAGGAAAGGCAATAGGGGTGTGACCAGGCCCCATGGGTGGGGACTGTTTCTCTCTCTCTCTCTCTTTCTCTCTCTCTCTCTCTCTCTTCCACCCCCCCTCCATGTACATATATGCCCTCTGGCATATTTTTTTTAAAATAATTAAAAAGAATGGCAATGTAATAAAGTGAAAAATGTAGTTCCTTAGATGGCGTAGCCGTATTTTATTCCTAATAGTCATGGAATCCTAATCTTAAGTCTTCAACTATAACTGCCCTTGGTCTCCTGGACCATTTGCTTTATTGCTTTTATCCTGATCTTTTTTGGGCTTTTCGTGCTGAGACAGCCAGTGATGTTGTGGAAGGGTAGATACTCTGGTATTGGTCAAGGGCACAGCAGGGGCTCCTTTGCTGAATCCAGAGCTCTCCAGATGGCATGTGGATGCCCTGTCTGTGCTTGATTAGCTAGCCCATCGCCCTCTGGATTTTTTGTTTGGTGTTTGTTTTTAATGGTGGAGAACATGTGAGAGAGAGAGAGAGAAGGCGTCCCTGTGACAGAGGTGATTGCTCATTCCGCAGCCCCCTTCCTCCAGTTCATCTCTGGATACTGAGTACACATGTGGACCTAGTATGCTTTTTAAGCCACAGGAGCCAAGACTCAAACCTTATTAGTTAGCCCTGTGGGATCTGGCTTCCTCTGTGCCTCCCCTCAGCACTGTGCTTCAGGACTTGCCCGCCCTCAGTGTTTTAGAAGAATGGTCCTTAGGGGATGATAAAGTCCTTTCAGGTGGGGAGCTTGTGCTTAGGGCCCCTGTTCTGAGTCGCGTTTGCATCCCTTCTCACTGTGTTATTTTCCACTTGCCCACACTGCAGCTTCTATTTTGCTTTTCTGCCCACACAACAGAGATCTTGTTCTAAGCTATGAGTATTACTCAGTGACTGTTTTCTAACTTTATAAATAAGTTTAAAGAACAAAGTATATTCAGGATCACAGATAAAGTTTCATTTTTCTACTTACGTAGTACATTATACAGTAAGTGCTTTGATTTCTTTAGTTAGATGTAGTCTTCTAGAAATGAAATCCCAGGCATCATTTTTATATTACATAAACAATGTCTCTGATTTAAAAGGACAACAAAACTAAGGTAAGAGTTAGGCTCTTTATTCAGTAGAGTTTATCTTGGTTCATAAGTTTTCGAAGCTCTTGGTAGTGGATACCTTCAAAATGTTCCTTAAATGTTTATGGCAGATTCTTTTGTGGTTCATAGGCGTGATGACTGGTTTTTCACTCTTTTGTGTAAGATGTGCCTCTCTCAAACTTTGTACAGTACCAACACATTACCTGTCTGACGTGGAGGAATAAAGGAAAAAAACGTTTATGGCAATGGCTCTCAAATGCAGTTTCAGATCCCCTTTCCACTCTTAAACACTACTGGGGACCTGAGAGAGTTTTTGTGTGTGGGGCTTACATCACTCAATGCTTACTATGTTTGAACTTAACCTGGGAAAAAGGCAGAGTGCAAGAAAATCCAAGCACATATAGCAATAGCCATTGGAGCAACTGAATCACGGAGACACATTGGGAAGAATGAGAACAAAAAAGGGCGAATAGCCTCTTAGTATTTGTCTTCCTCTGTTATTGTGTTGCTAAACAGAAATGCCTGAGGCTGCGTAATTTATGAAGAACAGAGACTGCACTGGTCTCTGAGTTCAGGTCTTATGAGCTGTGCATAGGGAGCAGGATCCACATGGCCTACCTGGTTCAATTCCAACACCCAACAACTGGAATAACACACCACATACATGTGTGCGTATGTGTCTGTGTGTGTGTGTGTGTGCCCTAAATCCTGACAAGATTGAAAAAAGGTTTGTAGCATGATCATGCCCCTTGGAGGAGAGGGGGAATTTATCTCTTTGCCTTCTCTCTCTCTCTCACCAATCACACACACCCTCTGGAAAAGTAAAATAAATACAAAGAATAGAGGTTTATTTGGTTCACCATTCTGGTGGCTAAAAAGTCAAAGAGCATGGGCCAGCATCTGGATGGCCTCTGGCCCTACATTAACATAGCAGAGAAAAATGGAAAGAGCAGCAGTCACACACAGAGAAAAAGAGGGAGGTCTGAGGCAACCACCTATTACAACCCACTCTTGCAGGAACTAACTCCATTTTGCAAACAAAAATGCACTGCCTCTTCCAAGATACAGCATCAATCCATTAATGAGGGTGATGTCTTCATGATACTAACTATGTCTCACCTCTTAAAGGTCTCACCACTTCTTAATGCCCTTACATTGAGAACTAAGCTCCATAACGTGAACTTTTAGGAGACAAACTCTTACCCAAACCATAGAAGTATTATTAGAAACATGGTATTGACCTCACAGACCCCTTAATGGAAATGTGGTGACCCTCAAGGATGCCTGGACTTACTCTGAAAACTGCTAACGAGAGACAAGTATTTGTGTCTAGAAAATATGTTTACCATTCTTGGTGAGTTAATCTTCCATCAGCCTGAAGTGTCTGAAGATCTCTATGATGAAGACAGGAAGGAAATAAGTGTTACTAAGTGCATTCCCGATGCCTGTTTTGGCATTCTCTCTACTTCCAGCTAATTACCAATCAGTCCTTTTACAGACCCCATTTCCACTGACCTACTTCAGGGAAGATCATCTCTCACCTGCATTGGTGCAGCCACCTGCTAGTTGATCTCCAGTCCTTCCTTCCCGCCTCCATCCTTTGTCTACACTGTGACCAAAACAATATTCCTAAAGCCCCAAAAGATGTTTGACCTTGACCTTTCTCATTGCCCTTTGGGTGAAATTAAACTTCCTCCACAAGTTTGCAAGGCCCATTCATGAAGATCTCTGATGACCTCTTCTCTCCACTACCCCAAAATCATATCCTAACCATTCTTAGTTTGCTGAGCATCTAAATATTCATTTCCTTTGAGCCTTGAACTGTGTTATTTCCACTGCCTAGAGCCTCCCAATGTTTCCTAGCCAAGACCTACTGGCCCATCAGATCTCAGTTTAGGTGTCACTTCATCCAGGAAGACTTACCACCGCGACCCCTGTGATTGGGTTAGCTATTCCTCTTATTGGCCCCATGACCCCAGCCTGGACTTACCTGTTGTCGCACTTGTTACACTGCAGAGTAACTGTGTTTTCCTGGGTTATACACCCTTATCTGAAAGCATTCCGAAGTAAAGGAGCATGTCTGGGTTTAATTACCTCTTCTGTCCTTTGGTCAGTTTCTGGCATGCGCTCAACTTGTGTACAGTTGTGCAATGATAATCAATCAGCCAACTTTTTAAGTACTTCCTTTATGCTCTGTGATAAGTGTTTCATCTATGTGGTTTCATTTCATCCTCTTAAAAAGTAGACACCGTTTCTCCCAGTTTAGCATTAAAGGAATATGAACCCATTACTTCCATGGCCTAAATATTCCAGGATTTAAATCCTTTTCCTACCATCATTTGCTTTAAAAAAAGATCATCAAATGGGGGAACAACTGACAGAAATGATGTGGTATAAGGCAAATTCGCTACAGGAAAAATGCAGGCAAAGAATAATTCTGACAAAACAGTCGAATACTCCTTTAACTTCTGAGTGACATTGCAGGCTTATTCTCAGCCAGAACTCTGAGTAAAGTCACTGAAAATACTTGTTAAAGGAAATCGATCATAAAAGTACTTTCCCAGTTGGCAGTCTTTGAAAATGTCTATGCATTTATGCTCACAAATTTTTGGCCTTGTTTTTTTAAAAAAAGTTTGTTTGATTGATATATATATATATATATACATACACACACACATATATATATATACATATGTATATGTGTGTGTGTGTG